GGAGGTGTACCTGGAGACCTGGGGGCTGACCTCGTGCTCCTGCAGGTAGAGGCGGCTGAAGAAGCGCAGCAGCAGGACTCTGACGGGCAGCGTCAGGTTCCTCTGCTGGTACTGCGCACTGACAGCCTGCAGCAGCTCCTCCGTCACACCTGCTCAACAGAAAGAGATTGCCAATAGTCGATCAGCTCACCTCGAAATCACAAGACATGGATACACAGCTGACAACAACACAGTGCTACAGTCGTGGCAGGGTGGCGTAGTAGTAGCTAACTGTCTGTTATTAATCTTATGGTACTGGAGGGGTTCTGATGGATGTTGTTGACTGCTGTTCTGTAATATGGTATTGTACTGTTACAGTACTGTATTATAGTCATATGTTATACATTTATGAGCATGTGAGGTGCAAGACAAATTCCCTTAGGGGCGATAAAAGTTAATTCAATTCTTTATTCTTAAATAGTTATTCAATTTGGAGATCTAGACTCCTGGTCAGAGGGATTGTGGGTTCAAATCCCAGAAGGGGACACTGCCTCAAGGGTACTTCATCTAGATGACTCCAGAAATTCAGCGACTGTATATTAGACAGATAGCTGTAACCACTGTAGGAAGCGTTGGATAGAAGAGCTGGCCAAAAGAAATAAAAGGTTGATAAAAACTACCAGTAGGACAGGTCCTAGGTTTCAGTGTCGAGTCACAGAGCATGTACTACACTGCAATAAGAGCAAAGCAAAAACAACTGATGTGGAGGCGTCACCAATCAAACAGATACAAACGATGTGAAGAACCCAGTAGCTGCTTGGCTCGGCGATCCAGATCACAAAGTTGAATTATTTTCACCCACCTTTGTTCCTCTGCGTCAGCACCAGCTTCCACACCACTTCCAGCAGGTTGGCCAGGTGCCGGGCACCCAGCCGGACGCCACTCGTCAGGCTCTCCCTCACAAACGCCCTGACTGGCCCCAGCCAGTCCGCATCCTGGCGGCCGTCTGCGCTGGACGTCAGGTTCGCCATGACCTGGCACAGCGTCAGATTCAGGGCCAGCGGGTCCACACCAGCGTCTCCCGCCGCCGCCGCCGCCGCCTGCTGCTTAATCCTGCACCGCAAGCACATCACAAAGCATGTAAACGCATCCACAGCAGAGGCCGGGAAACTGCACGTATCTGAAAAAATGCACCTCTGTTTCAGGTAATACTGGATACAGCTGTATGCCACCTCGCACGACAGAAGATATTCACCAATCCTTTGAATAGCAAGGTCCTCATAAATATAAAAAAAATCTCCATCCATTTTTAATAATGACTTTACCCTCAGACAGTCACGTTAAGCCTGAGCCTACCCTGAC